CTCTCTCTCTCTCTCTCTCTCTCTCTCTCTCTCTCTCTCTCTCTCTCTCTCTCTCTCTCTCTCTCTACTTCTTCCTCTCTTCCTCTCTATCCTTGAAAGCAAAAAAAGAAAAAAAGGGGGAAAAACACGTCAAATGTCAATCGCATACGACAGTTTATTCGTATGTATTTTTGGGAAAGAAAATAATTGTTAAATGTGAAATTCAAAAGCAAAATCTTCACCTCTCTGCATCTTAATCCTTACGCATTGTAATCGGATTAAACGTCAAATGAATCTTTCTTAACATATTACATATCAGGCTGATTTTACTATATAAAATTCTCCCTATGTATTAAGATGCGTTATACACTCATTGCAAATCCAAGTATATTATTCTGACTAACAAATAAACTTACCTAAAAATTACACTCCGATTTCTTTCTAATTTGGCACAAATGTAGAAGTACAAAAAATATTTAGGTCATATTTTTTTCATTTTGGCCCACTTTGAGTGAGTGAGTACAGTTTCACGGGCAGTTTATAGCTTTTTAATGTTGGCACTCCTATCATCAACAAATACAATGCATAAGAAGTAAAATTGAATATAAGGTATAGTTAAATAATTTTAACAAAATCGGCATAGCTGAGACACGAATCGTTCTAAATTTCTTTAGCGGATATTCCGGTAATATTTTTAATCTTTTAACCGAAATATTTTTAATCTGTTCTAAATTAGTCAAAAATAGTTCGAATTTCTACCAAACCGAGAGAGAGAAAGAGAAAAATCTGACAATTTTAATTAAAATGTTAACAAAACTGGCATAGCTGAGATATGAACCATTTTAAATTTCTTTTGCCGAGATTCCAACCGAAATATTTCAAATCTGAAATATTTCAAATGAAGTCCAAATGTGTAAAATTATTTGAATAAATAATAAAATGTTTAAACAAAACATGTAAAAAGTTGAAAAAATTATTTATACAAATAATTTCTCGGTTTGACCGAGATTGGAACCATTTTTGACTAATTTAGCGCAGATTTCAAATATTTCGATTGGAATCTCGGCTAAAGAAATTTAGAATGGTTCATGTCTCAGATATACTGATTTTATTAAAATTATTTAACTATATATTATATTCAATTTTATTTCTTATGCATTTTTGTTGCACTTGTTGATGATAGAAGTAAGAACATTAAAAAGCTATAAACTGTGAAACTCAAAGTGGGCCAAAATAAAAAAATATGACCTAAATGTTTTGTTGTACTTCTACATTTGCCAAATTAGAAAGAAATTGGAGTACCTTTTGGACAGATTTACTTGTAAGTCTCTTCTTACATATTCCTTACGTTTATTACGTTTAAACGTATTGAATTATCATTTACATGTTTTAAACGTATTAAGTGACGCGATTTAAAGACACGTGAAACATGTGAAGAATTTCCGCCAAATCATATGCTTATGCATCTAAAAATAACACTTGGATTTGCACGTGGACTCGACCTAGAACCGCGAGAGGTTAAAAATCTCCACAGGGGATCCTGCTGTAAATTTCCGACTTCTGCTTTGCAGCCCGGAAACGGATTCGGCAGGCTACCCGAGCCGCTGCAGACAGTCGCCGGAGAATATTGCCCCGCTAACTACCCGGTGTCTCAGACAACGGCAAGCAACGAGAAACTGCACCCCGGTGAGTGAGTGAATGAAATTTTTTCGCAACTTTAATTGAATAATATTTAATCACGGAGTAATAAGAGGAATAATTATTAATATTAAAATTGGGATCCAGAATCGATTTGATGTGGAAGGCTCGATTCGCCGCGTACGTTACAAAGACTGGAAAACCTCTGCGTTACTGTCGTTAACACTGGCGTTAACAGTGTGTCAAATATTATTATCTTCCCAACATTTAGCAAAATAATTCGCTACAACGTCTCAGCTCTTACTGGTTTAAATAACTACTTACTGGTCTAAATATATTTAATTTAAATTATATACTTCGAAGAGCCTTTGTGTAGAATTGTTTGGAATTTTTTACGAATAACTTTTTGTAACTCGACACCATGATTCAATATTTTCTTGCTCTCTCTCTCTTTCCTCTTATGTTTCTCTTTCTCTCTCTCTCTCCTTTCTTTCTTTTTTTTCTTTAATTAAACGTGATCAGGATGAAGAGGAAGGTATTCGCGAGCCCAGATTGAATTTCCTAAACGCGCGTCGCTCTTTTTTTCTTTTTTTTTTTTCCTCTTTTTTTTCTCCGAGAGAAAGTATCCGCGGTCTCTAAACTGCTGTGGCGTCTTAACGAGCTTGCGAGGATGTAATCAAGGGAAAAGATGAGTGACGCGGGGCAGAGACCGACCGGTCGATTCTTCGATACCCCCTCCCCCGTCTCCACGACTTTGAAGCTCTTTGATACCGTCATCGTCGTCGTCGTCGCTGCCGCGCTCGGAGACGTCTCGCGTCGTCGCGTTTCCATCGGCGGTGCCGTCGACACGTACGAGACAAGTCGACTGTGTGTAAACGCGTGTAGATCATACACGGTTGCAGCGATCGCGTACACATCTACACACACACACACACACACACACACACACATATTCGGGGAAGGCACGTCCGGGGAGCACGTGCGGGGACGTGTACCCCGAAACGAAGCGCCGGTAAGGAGGCGAAGAGAGAGCAAGAAAGAGAGAGAGAGGAGCAGAGAGGGTGAGATATACCCCCCGAAGAGAGCCTGTCACTCGCAGGCAGACTCGAGTCGATATCTTTATATAGTCGCATCAACGACGACATTATTTTCCAAAGGTCGGGGCGACGAGGTTACATCGGCCGAGACAATCTGCCGCTGGAGTATTACTTGCCGCGATTACTTGCGCCGAAATGCCGCGATATTTCGGCGGATATCTCGTGGAAATTCGCGCCAAACGAACTCTTCGCGCTTGGCATTGAAGTTACGCAAAATTTTAGTAATTAGCATAATACGCCGAGAGAATCTTAAAGTAAACATTATTGTGGGATTTTATGACCGAGAAAGAAAACATCGACACGTTCTGCTTTATCTTCTGGACAAAAATAAACATTACATATTTATTGGTTTCTTTTTTTAATAAAACATTAACAAAAACGCTTTGAAGAAAAACTAAAAATTTAAATAAAAGACTACCATTTTGTCTAGAATGATAATATTGGTTCAGTTCTAAGTTCAGGCGATAGCGACACTTCTGAATAAGAAAATATTTGGTTTTTACATTTCAGGTACTTTTCTCTCTCTTTCTAGGAGAGCCAAGATTACATTGCGTATTTTCTTTTTTGTGAGCTTCTAGCGAACTAGAATATGACATATAAAAGAAGAATTTTTGTCACTTAAACGATATAAAAATATATTCTTATAAAGTAAGATAAAATAATTTCAAGAATATGCAAGGTTTTACGTTATTCAGTTTTTCGTTTCTCTACAAAAAGTACCTTTTTTGCGATTTTTTTTTTTATACCAGGAAATATTCCCTTAAAACGTCATGAGACATCATCATGTTTTCTGGATTTATTCTTCAAAGTAAAATAATTTTTTTCCAGACTCCAAATCAATATCAAATTGTTCGTAATCATTTTCAGATGCAATATGGATTAATCTCTAATCTTTTTATGAGACAAAAATTCTCTATAGCAATTTTTTTCTTCTTAGCAACTTATGAGATGTAATGACACAATTTCTACCTCGAAAATGCCCGCAATTCGATCTGTGACGAATTTGATCTGTTATCGTAATTCGTCAAATACGAATCCAGGGTCACGAGGGAGATCTGCGAACGCGTCGCGAGACATCCTCGTCGTCGAAGAGCCGCGCGATGAACGTTAATCGTCGTCGCCTTCCGTTACAAGGACGCCTCTTCCGTCGGCGAGGCCGTCTTAGCCTTGACCCAGAAACACGCCGCCAATTCCCCGATACGAAATTCAATAAGTGACGTGTTATCACCGCAAAGACTCCCCTGGGCTCCTCTTGCAAGCGGGGGACGCAGCCCCCCATGCTTGTAAGAGCAAGAGAGAGAGAGAGAGAGTAGTACAGCTACCCCAATGGCGTCTGGCTGCCAGTGATTGACACTTTATATCTAGCATTGGCATGGGCCGTGGTGTGAGCCACCACTCAGGGATGGACCACCTCCGCCTAACTCAATCACTGCCTATAATGCCGCAATTTCTCTATCATAATCGCGTTACGTCCCCTCCTTGCCACCGCAGCTCGTCGATCTATTCCTCAACGACGATTCAGAAATATTGAAACTCCTCCGCGCCGCCACGAACGAAAATTCCGTAGACACACACACACTCTCTCTCTTTTTCTCCTTCCTCTTTTCTCCTTCTCTTTGCTTCCTGTCGCTCGCTTTTTTGCACAACGTGCATCGGGGAGCAAAATTGTAACGCAATTTCTTCGTCGAATCGTTCAATCGAGACGAGTGTGGGGTCCTTCGTTAACAAACCGTATAGCGCAAGCTTAATTATTAAAAGCGACCTATCGAGTGTCATTTACAAGATAACAGCGTACGCAATCTTACTGCTTCCAATTTTGCAATTTTTGTCTGTTTCAACAATTTTTAGCGAAATTCTCACTTGTGTAATAGTGATCGAGTTTTCGATTGCATTATTATAATTATAATATTATTAATATTATTAAAATAATATGCAAAAATAAGTAATCGTACAAATTTTGGTGTGATCCTTCACGATTTGTATTATTTTCAATGTTTCTTTCCAATCGAATGACCGAGAAAAATTCAATAAATGTTTGCAATATCATCGCGTAGTTTGCATTAATTTCAATATTTTGATACTTTGATACTTATATTTTGATACTTTGATCAAAATGCAATAACACGTTTGTAGTAATATATTTATACTTAGTATACTGTGTGAGCGCACACGGAGAGATTATAGCTTTTTTCTCACGTAAATTCTTTTTAATTATATATATTATATTTTTTATTAGTTCAGCAATAGACTGTCAGTTTATCTTGCTAAGGAATATGATAAATTTTTTAATAGTACACAGAGAAAATTTTATGTTAAAAATTGTCATAAGTTTTTGTAACTAAAAAATAGATTAACATCCTCTGTAGTAATTAATTATTTATATGTGCTATTTATATTTCAGGATTGAAATGTTCTATTAAAAAATTTGCTCTTAACGAAATTTACTATATTAGCAATATCCTCAGCAAGATAAACCTAACACTGAGAAAAAAGTAATTGATTCAACTAAAATTATAATTATTTTTTACTCCAACAATATCTTATTTCCACCGATTGTCATCCAATAATTGACGTTTCTAAAATGACTAATAGAAATCAAAATAGTCCTTCAGTTTTACTATTTTATCTTGACCAAAAAAAGTCATGCCATTTCTCGCCTATAGAAGAAGATTACATCTACTATGTTTACACAGTCGCGACAATTAGTTGCCTGAGAAGTCGTAACTTCTAGATTCTAAGATATAAATGCATCTAGCCCCGATCTCCTATACCTTAGCGTGGCACTCGAAGATGACACCGCGAATCCTTCGAGTATCTTCTTCGCGGAAGGGCTTGGACGAAGAGGAGGAGAGTGAGAGTATCGTTGTACGCGAGCAATGAGCTGTGGCTTAAGTAGATTCGATTCGGCCGCAGGCCGGGATTCTCCGCCGTGGAACAAAACGAGGTTACCGCCGAGTGGCTACCCATGGCGAATCCTGGAAGGCCCATTAAACGCGCACCCCAACGTTACAGTTTTCCGCCGTGGCATTCTTATGCGCCCGTTCGCGCCGAAGGGTTTGTTTTTGCTTCTGATTCACTCGGGTCAGCCTCCTCGTCCTCGTCGTGGCTCCCTTTGTCGTCTTCCTCTCGCTCGAATCCCGCTCATTCCGATTCAGATCGATTCGTTTCTTACCACCCGGGCCGGATATTCCGATACGCCGATGGAAACGTCTTTTCCCTCCTCGGTAAACATTACAGCAACGTTACATCGATGTTATGATTTCTCACTCAACAATATAAGTGCAATATATTGTATGCTGTACACTGAGAAAGAAAAAACGATTGAATTTAACTAGAATTGTAAAGTTGTTTTTTGTTTAACTAGGATTGCAAAATTATTTTTGGCCCAATTGTTTTTTCTAATAAAATAATAGAATATACTTATGGCGTTATTATCGCCAAAGCTAATGTAATGATATTTACACTTCTGCTTATAAATTACTTTTATATACTTTTCAATACACACACACACTGTACCTTGTACATTGCTTATGAATTTGTGTGGTAATATGTTATAACAGGAAATTCTCCCGAAGTGATAATACACGATGTAAATATTGACCTCCCTTATTATACTCTTATCTAATAAGTGAATAAATGTAATAAATATAATAAATGAATAAATATAATAAAGAGCAGATAAACTTTCATGATTACCACAGGAATAAGATAATTGATGATGGAAACAATTTTTTATATATTATATTTATACAGTAAATATATTGTATTGAATTAATTAATAAATTTACATCATACATTAATATAAGTTTTTTGTTATATTGATAAAACAACAAGTTTGCTAAGAATTACATTCAGATCTTCATGTTACATTTCACATGACATATTGTTATAGTAAAATTTAGATAATTTTTTTTTTCACATTATTGTTTCTTCATTCTGTGACAAATATGAGTATAGAGAAAAAAAGAGTACTCTTTTTAAAATGTCTTAAAAATATCTTTATTTTAAAAATACCTTTATTTTTTACATGTTAATCTTAAAATGCGATTCTATAACATTAAGCGAAAATAATTTATTTGCATCAATATATTTAATGTGATCCAACGAAAAGAAAATATATATTCTTATTTTTATTATATTATTATTAAAAAATAGTTTTCATCAATGGAAATCACAAATTTTGAGTTGAGAATATAATGTGTCTAAATATCGGAAGAAGATATCATTAATATCAATATCATTAAAATAATCATATTATACTTCATGTAAAGCCATTATAATATTCGATTAAAATTATTACATTGTTGATACTCAAGATTTCGAGAAATTCGTTTGATAAAATTATATACCGTTACAACAGCAAAACAAAATTATATGCCATTATGTTATTGTTTTTTCAAATAACAAAAAATATAATAAAATATTAATGTAAAATTCAACAGTTACTTAATTAATATACGCGATGTTTCAAAATATTCGGTTGATCCATTTTCGCAAAATTAATTCTCAAAAACGCTTTTTTCAGAGCGTTACATTGATGTCTGGCCCCTCTTAAAAATGCTTAAATGTGCTCTTAATTTCCTCAGAAAAAATATATACAAAGCGTTATGCGAACGAATGTGCGTCATGGTTACGTTGTTGAGTGGGAAATTATAATATTGATGTAAGATTACTGTTGCGCGGTGCTCATTGGCTCGAATGTTTAGTCGCTAGCATGTCGCATGCGATAAATATATACGCATATGGACAACATTCACTGTGATTACAGGAAGCGAATTATACATGCCGCATGGCTACAGACAGGAGACCTGGTTGCAAGACGGTGAGTGTTCTATCTCTGTGAAATTTCATCCGCGTCGTCGTAATTGAATTATTTATAGAGAGAGCGCTGGTAAATCTCATTAATATTGGCGCGTCGCGCGAGCCTGACTCGAGTGCGCGCTTAATCCTACCCAAAGCATCAAGCCCGGATAGCTCAGTCGGTAGAGCATCAGACTTTTAATCTGAGGGTCCAGGGTTCGAGTCCCTGTTCGGGCGTTTATTTTTTTTTTCTTTTTTTCCACGTTATATCTAAAGTTCTTGGTATTTCCGACGGAAATGGTATTAATTCTGACCAAATAACTAACAATTGTTCTTTTGCGGCGCAAATTGTTTTCGACTTTTCTTCTCGATCAATCCACAGAAACTCATTTGCTTCGTGATGATATTATATAGCTTGCATTTATTTCAATATTTCAGCATTTTACTAATGCAAGAACATATATTTATAATAATATATTTATATTAAGTATATTTTTAATCATTAAAAAATTATTTACAAAGTCGACTGGAATAAGACATGCAATGTCGAGGTAGACTCAACACAAGACAGTGCGAGAGGTTAAAGTACAAACAGATAAAAAGGAGATTTTATTAAAACATTTTATTAAAGTCACGTTCAAGTTAGACAATTGACAAATCGACGTGAGAACGGAAAAGAACCAAGCTATCAATTATTATTCGTTAATTGTGGGATTTTATCAAACTACAATAACAGTTGGCCGAACGAGAGCAATTAAAAGTCGTGAAGTCCCATTAAAATAAGTAAAAAATAAAATTTTATTAAAAAAATACCGTTGCGAGAGAGAGAGAGAAAGAGAGAGAGAGAGAATTCTGGTATATCGATCTTTGGAATTTATAGAGATGTAGCGTAGAATTATTCCTAAGTTACCGGGGTGACGAGATAATTACGCGCAGCAGCTACTGTTCGCTCGGAACATTAATTTTAATTAACTCGTTCAACCACGATGTAATACGTGCTGGACGTGATGTAACGGACGATATCAAAAGGATGGAGACGGATTTTATACCGCCGCTGCGGGGAAACGACCACGTTCTCGTCAGCATTTCGGGTAGAATTTTCAAAATGTTCTCTTTCTTCTTTTTTTTTCACATTGACTGCCACATGAGGTTTTAGAAAAAAAGGAAACTTACCGATATTTTCTTTTTACGTAATAACAATTCGTTACATTAAGAACACATGCTTGGTATTCTCTAAACTTCTTAGAATAAAATTTCACTCGAAAAGTCTTGTGATCACTCGAGTTCGAGTAAGTTTACACGCGTACAAAGTGAATCCTCAATTGTCGAATAGAGCTCAAAATTGAAATCTAATATACTTCCACATATAGAAAAAAATACTATTAGTATTTCAAATAAATGTCACTTCACTGAGAAGAATTATCCGATAAAAAATTAACAAACAAATATTTCCGATCAAAGTACCGATGAATTCTATATTCGATTTCTATATCTGATTAAGATATCCGATTAAATTTAATCAAATATTTTCGATTATAATAGTATTTCATCAGATAAACCGATGAAAAAATTATGAACCGATATTTCTCATCCGATGTTCAGATACAAAATTCATCAGAATTTGATCGAAAATATCCATTTGTTAATGTTTTATAGGATAATTTCTCTCAGTGCAGACTCTGATCAATGTTAAATTGTTTGTGTCACTTTTAGAGAGGTGCAATATAAATTAATAATTAATTAAAGTAATTTAATTTTTTCAAAATGTTTACATTATTTTTAAAAGATATGAACAATACACTCATCCAAGAAAGTAAACTGACAAATAAACCTACCCAAAAGGTACATTCTGATTTCTTTCTAATTTGGCACAAATGTAGAAGTACACAAAAAATATTTAGGTTATATTTTTTCATTTTGGCTTACTTTGAGTTTCACGGGCAGTTTATAACTTTTTAATCACTTCTATCATCAAGTACAACAAAAATGCATAAGAAATAAAACTGAATACAAGACATAGTTAAATAATTTTAACAAAATCGGTAGGTTTACTTGTCAGTTTACTTTCTTATTCGTCACAAGAACATATTTATTCTATAATTCATCGAAACATTCACTCGTTTCGTTCGTTTTGAAATTTCATTCCAAGAAATTTAGAGATTAGTGTTACTAATTACTGAAAGCTGGTTAGTAGGTATTGTGGCAGTCAATATGTTAATTATCTCGTCGTCCCCTCGCGAGTGTAACTTTCTTCTTCGCAACATTCTTCTCAAGATTAATTATTCGACTTCGCCTTCTAATCTTGTCTGTATTTTATGCCCAGGCAGCGGCTCCGAAACTGAGGACAGCGAACAATACGTACCCGAGTTTCATCAGATGTCAAGTGAGTGACTGTCATTTTCTTTTTGATTAATTTTTTTTTTTTTTATAACGATCATAAAATCAAAGCCTGCTCGAACTCGTTTTTTCGTACTATCATTTTCACAGATTAACTCTAATGACGCAAATGAGCAATCTGAACTAACCGGGAATCATTTGCTATCAATAAAGAATTTTTTTCGAGTTCGGAAAATCGCATTATGTAAGATAAATGTCTCAATAACTGAACTAATAAGAAAGCACAATCAATTTTACATTTTTATTAATCAATAATGAACAGAATTGTTGTCAAAAATAACGTTTATATAAAACTTTATTTTTTCAGCGGTCGGAAAATAATAGGAAATAAAATAATCAATAGATATCAGTTGTAATTTTAATGGGATATTAAACAATGCCTGTTGTATCAGTAATGGAACTGAAAAATGAATTATATCTTAATCATCGAATAATGCAAATTCATTGACTTAATGCTTATTAAATAATATTGTATATTAGCATATATATAAAGAAATATCTTTTAACAAAATTTTCAAGGCTTTTTCTGAAATATTAAATACCAATATGTTATTAATGTTTCAATCACTGGGACGTTGTTTAAATGAACAAATAATTACTGGGACATTTACAATTTTGTAGTATAACATATGACGATTTCGCATTGAGAAACAATCGATATGCTCTTAATGTACTATACTGAGAAAAAAGTGTCTGGCATTTGTAACTATAATCGCATAAAGAAAGATTTATAGTTATGAGAACTATTCTTGTAGTGAGTATTATACTATAGCGTTAGTGACAATAATCTTATATGTATGTTGCTACTAATATTTTTTTGCTAGATCAACAGAAGAATATATAGTTGGTGACGAAAATAACTACAATTTTCCAGTAATATTAACCATTTTTTCTCTCAGTGTAATATTTCACTTGATTTTTCTTAATTTAATAATTTTGCTTGATTTTTCTCTTTTGTCGTTCTTTTTTCATTTTCGTTTCGTAATTCGACTTCCGTCCCTAAAGCTTGATCTATAATGTATTATTTGCTTCCTGTTACTTTTTCTTTATCTTTTTCTGACTCAAGCTTTAAATTAAACCTTAAACTAAAAAAAGATAAAAAATAAGAAACAGAAAGCAAAGAACACATTGTAGGTCAGGCTTAAAAGGTTGATAACAAAATATTTAACAAAAATACTCGATCGTAATTAATCGTCACAGCGGAAGAATTCCGCGCGCAATTCGACACGCCACGATTCACGATGTCTGGGTAATTCGCCTAGATAAATAAATCCGGGACCCATACGGGATTGGAGGATGTCAATCTCCGCGGAAATCACCGCGAAGATCGTGCAGCGTGCGGAAGTGTTTCGCGCGCCGCCGGTTGGCTTCTTCAGCCTCGAGATTGCTCGGAAAATCTGTTATCCCATGCTGTTCTGTAGGTCTGGGCGTTTAGAAATCCTCTCCCTTCGAGACGCGACGTAGGTCCTCGACCATCCTGAAATAGTCGAACTTAGCTGTTCGCCAAAGTGATAAACAACGTTGCATGTAAAAGAGCATCACATTCCATTTGTATGAAATTGAAATATTAAATTGCTCCATAAGTTTGTGCGGATTTTTGTCGTGTTGATGAAACAAACGAGAAAAATTAATCTTTTTCTATATTTGAACATATTTTGATGTCCTGTTTTGCATAGTTACGAAGAGCCCATAGATTGCAGTTTCAATAGGCTCAGGCATTAAGAGGACTGGAAGGTCAGATTGCCTGAAAATCGTGCTTGTTCTTTCACAATTTTTTATGATAAACTGAATGAATATGCGAAAGTATTATTTTAACGTGTATTTATACAACATATAAAGGGAAGAAAAATATAATTTTGATCAAATACTCAATATAAATGTATAGTACATGCAGTTAAAATATATTTTGTTTTTCTTTTGTTTTTAAGGTCGTCATTTTGCAGTAATATTTTTACTTTCGGTGGTTCAATTAAGATGAATTTTAGGTAGAAAATTTCCGTAAGCTTGTCGTTATCGTGTGAAGCACTATAATAAAAATTGAGTAAAAGTTAACAAAATTGCAAATATCTTCATAGAATATTATTAAATTTTCAGTTCTTTTATAGTAAAAAAATTAATATTTTAAAATTAAATATTTTTACGAGTTTGTCACGACAAGTTTACGAAAATTTTCTATCTAAAATTCAGCTTAACTGAACCATTGAAAGCCAAGATATTACTGCAAAATGACGACCTTAAAAAGAAAAACGAAATATATTTTAACTGCATGTACTATACACTTATATTGAGTATTTGATCATCAAAACTATATTTTTCTTCTCTTTATATGTTGTATAAATACACGTCAAAATAACACTTTCGCATATTTATTCAGTTTGTCGTAAAAAATTGTAAAAAAACAAGCACGATTTTCAAGCAATCTGACTCTCCAATTCTCTTAATAGATTGAGAGAAGAAGTAGTTTCATACAGATGACCATCTATGTATATGCTTTGACAGCTGACACTTCAGAGTGTATTTTATGTTATAATAATGTTTGGAAAAGTACAGTTGTCTTTGTTGCGGCTCGAAAATGAAAAGTACTAATGAGTTTTTGCGGTGCATTATACTTTTGTATTTCCGTAAAAGTTGCTAGAGATTAGCTTTCTTCTTTTAACACTATTTTCAAGCGCGATTTTCATGTACGCGCGCAGACCGAGCTCCGTTTGTTCGCGAATAAAAGTGAAATCGACCAGCACGTTTGATACAACGCTCGCGGACTTAAAGGGTTAACCGTGTAATCACCGGCGTATCGGCGGATCAATTAGTAATACGTTACACGCCGCGGGCGTGCATGTTTAATTAGCCGCCGACACTTTCGGCGCGCGTGTTGCGGTTTTATCGGCCGTTTCGACCCGACAGCCTATTTTTGCGACAGCCGCAACAACCAGCGAACACGCTGGTGCTGTCGGCCTGCAACGACAGCTCGGCGTGTTTTTCCCGCAAAATAATCGCGACTTTAAATCCACGGCCTGCTGGCGGCGGCGGCGGCGGCGGTGCAATATCGGTCCTTTATTAAAAACCGGCGAGAAGTCTGGCCCGCGGGGCAGAATTCTTTTTCGTATAGAAAGAAAAAGAGAGAGGGGGGAGGAGAGAGGGAACGGAAAGAATCAACACACGGACGCACTTCGTCTCCTCTCGCGCGGCCGATCATCGATATCGGATTACGCGAGTAAGCACTTTATATTAAGCCAGCGGCGTTTCGCTGCTTCTTCTCCTCCTTTTTTTTTTATCTCTCTTTAATGCGGCGCGCTTATTAACGTCGTCGTCGTCGCGCCACCGTGCTGCCGCTGCTATCGATATAACGCACCGTTTCCGCGATCATTATTATAATAAACGGGCAAAAATTCGCAACAGCCGTATTTCACTTCACCGACATTGAAGATATCTCTCGGTTTAATGGATGGTTTACATTATTCCGCGCTCGCGCGGACGAGCGAGCAAGCAAGCGAGCGAGCGGACGAAATTCGCGTACAGTATGTGTGTAATTCAGCGTCGAACGTTGAACAAACGTATCGTCGAGCATTTCAACCGGGCGGGCAAACAGCCAGAGGGAATCGGGGGCTAGCTAATGTCTATATACACATTCACGTACACATACATACACATATGTGTGCGCACGCGCGCGCATACATATATAGCGCACGCACGCACGCGGCGTTCCCAGGCCGCGCGTATCTTTCGCGTAATATTATACGTAACTGGCGACGTATTTAGGAAGATATTGTCGATGCGCGTACGCTTCCACTGTGGCGCGGATACGCGGGAATACATCGGCGTTTTTATTTTTATTTTGCAAGATAAAATATAGATTGACTTGCGAAGCGAAGATCTGTGTGTGAGAGAGAGAGAGAGAGAGAGAGAGAGAGAGAGAGAGAGAGAAAGAGAAAGAGAGAGAGCAGCCGAGCGCCAGGTGGATGTCTGGCGTTAATCAGTTACATGCTATATACTAAATCGATTAAGGCTCTCTCGATTAACAATCAATAACACACGGAGAAAAATAATTTGCTGTCCCAGTAAATTTTCTGCTGGTCTAGCAAAATCTTTTCGTCATTTTATGGACAGCAAAAAGATTGCTAAGAATATTAATCATTATTTGCTGGACATAACTTGCTGAATCTACAAATTATTTTGCTATAAGAACCATGATGGATTTATATAAGCAGTTGCAGTTTTGCTCCGATGGCAAATAAATTTGCTAAGGATATTATTTCATCAATAGCAAATTAACGTGATTCTTAGGACAAATACACTCAACAAATTTTTTCTATCCTGGCAACGAAACTACTTCTGCTCTGATAACAAATAATTTGTAAAATTAGTTACGTCAACTAAGTTTTTTTTATATCACTACAAATATGCTGTAGCAACGACGATTTTGCTAAAAAAGCAAAATTATTTTTCTCCGTGTATGCTAGTTAGAACGAGCTAGTGCATAGACTTCACGGTGCAATAAATAAATAATAAAGCAAACCGGAGCAAGCGTGGTTTTCAAGCAGTATACAGGGTGTCCCAACTTGATTTCACAATCTCTTGTGAGGACGTAGAGCGAATCGAGGTGAGCAAAAAAGTCCAACACCGTCTTGCGAAAATCACAATAACGATCGAGATATTAATCGTAGAAGATTTGTGAATATGCATAATCATGCATGATATGGTAAATAGAAAAAGATAGATAAAAGTAAATAGAAGAAGAATAAAAGAAAAGATCGATGCACAATTTTGCGCGATCTTCTTTATTTAATGACTAAAAATCTATATGGTCGTTTACAAAATGGTAAAGGATTTTTTTGTTCAGTTTGATCTAATATGCAAGCACACGACGGCAAACGTAATTATCACTACAATTCATCTACCATATCGAGCGTGTTATCATTTACAAATCTTCTTTAATTAATATCTCAATACAAATTACACATTGAGAGAAATTATCCGATAAAAAATTAACAAACGGATATTTCCGATCAAAATACCGATAAATTTTTATATTCGATTAAATTTAATCGAATACTTCCGATCATAATGGGATTTCATCAGACAAATCGATGAAAAAATTATAAACCGACATTTCTCATCGAATGTTTCCTGATCGGATACAAAAATTCACTGATATTTTAATCGGAAAAATCCGTTTATTAATTTCTTATCGAATAATTTCTCCCACTGTATGAGACTATCGTAATATTTAAATAAAATTATAACGTTGTCAAAACTCAAGACTTTAAAATCTTTCTAATAAGATCGTTGCTTAAAACAATGATTGTTTTATACACTTTTTTTTTTTTAATGATTTATAAGCCGTGATATAGTTAGATTATATATTTTGAATAGACAGCGCCATCATTTACTCTATCAATAGGGGAGACCATGGCCTCAAGGGTATGTTGCTCATGTGCTTTTTTAAGTATTTATCTTGAAAGAAATAGCAGGTACAAAATCGCGAAATGATCCTTTTAGAACACAAGTACTTTTCTCCGAGTTCATTCAAAATCGGAATAACATTACAGTTAAGAAATAGAAAAATTGATTTGATAATAGCAAAGTAAATTTTCGAGCCTCTCGAAGTTTTCTATTGATATTCTCCATCGTGACTGAATAAAATTAAGCGATGTGTTAATAGCTAGAATGAAATTTCTTACAAGTGTATGATACACTATTTCTGATAATAAATGCAATTTTCGTTCATAAAATGATTGAAATAGAGGATATGGCATATGGAATTAAAGGCCGGCAGGAGGACTGTGAAGATCTCTCGCGGCAATTCTGGAACTATTAATTAGAATGCATATTTTATACATGGTCCTTCTTACCCCACGCTATACCGATATTGGATGCAAAAGTCGACGTTGTTTCGTGGGAAAAATGCCAGTTACGCTGCAATTTCCTTTCAATCAGCAGCGATGAGAAGCTCTTTGTAGCCTCTCGCGCGCGCTCGATGGGGAATAATTATGATCCGCGACGAGATCGCGGATGCGCCGCGAGATAATTCAATCTATCGAGCGCGCGCACCACCGTCGCGCTTTCACATCGGTAAACTTCCAATGTTTACAAATACAATTATTGCCGGAGGCTCGTGACTTATGCTTCCCACGGCCGGGGCCTGTTTGATTTATCGGGGGCGCAGCCCTCGCCCTCTCGCGAAATCGTCGGCACCCCATTAGACCCCACCTTCCCGTCCATTTTCCCGTCCCTTCCTCACGTGTCGCTGCAGCGATGCGTCTTTACTTCCGGTAGGACACGCGCCCTTATGTCCTCCGGCGCCCCGCCGTTCGACTCGACTATGAATCGTCCGGAGAAACGATCGTTACGTACGCCGCACTCGATAAACGACAATGATATGCGGCGGTGAAGAGCGGGGGTAGGTCGGCAAAGAAATTTTGCAAAAATGCCGAGATTCGTTTTCCTACGTGAGGAAAATATTAGAATTTTTTTTTTTCATGCATATCCTTTTCAATTTTACTGGAAATATTCGAAACTCCCCTCAAAACTCTGAAAGGTTTCGAAGACTCGAAATTTCGCGCTATTTTTGTGATTTAAATCTATCGAAACCAAAGATAGAGATGCCAATTTTAGGACGCAAAAATAATCATACTTATCTATTTTAATTTTTAAAAGATTGATTTTTTTTTAGTGAAAAGTGTAATTAAAAAAGTCTATTTTATACTGTTAGTCATCCTCTCTTTTTTTATTTAGCATTTTAAGTTTGCATACTTTCAAGTTTCGAGAGTTTCGAAACTTTACAAAGTTTTATATTCGAGTTTCGAAGACTTAAAAATCAGGTTTTTTTCGACTCATCCTTAAATATTACTATATTTCTAGTACTCCAGAAAAATACACTCAGTAAAGTACATCTTGTTAAAGAACATAGTAAATTTTACTGAAAATATAAATTCCGCTAGATAATTTTTTCCGCAGTAAATTTTTTAATAACACAAGGAACAGAAATCTAGCTTACTTATTTCTCACACAGAAAGAATTCAGTTTCTGAAATCTGAACAGCCTATAAGAAACGAAACCATAATCAAATTATGTTCATTGGTTCGGGATATTGATATGTTCGTCGGTTACAAAAAATATAGAGTATTCTTTACTAAAAAATTCTCTTCATACGATTTCGTTAATTACATTACATTTCGTTTATTACATTATCTTGCGTTGGCTCTTATTGGCTCCTTCATTGCTTTATTGATCGAGAAATAAAGATTGAAAAATAAAAGAGTCGCGAGAGGACGTAATCGTCGTTTTGCTCAAATAATCTTTTTACTTTTCGTTGAAATATTTAATCTCCCACTCTTGAAATATACAAGAGATGTGAGTCGCGATTTTAAGAAACAATATACACGTGTCGATGTAATCGTCTCGCTTGTGAAACAGGTGCGAGCGTGAAGCAAGAGTCGAGCAATTGCACGAGAAACGACGAGGGCAGTTATCACCCGCAGTATCAGTCCTCCGTCACGCACAGTCAAAACGGCGATTTTCTCGAGCTCAGCTCAGACCGTTGCTTCGGGTAAGTTCGAATGAAGAGTGATTGAGCTGTCGATCCTTTACAGGGATGTGCGATTTGTGGAATTGTGTATCGTGACGCAATCTTTTTAAAAAATCAATGAATTCAATCATTTCAATGAATACGATATATCACATTACAATTTAGTGTATCACAAATATAATTTTAAATCGCCATAAGAGAACCTGGTGCATAATGAGAACCATAATGTTTAAATAAATGTCAAACATTAAAAATCAACTCTCCCTTTGTACTGTATATCAAAATATTCTTTAAAATATTCACTATAGGAAAACATAAGTTTTACTGTGAAAGAATAGTTAAAAATGAAAACATAATGAAGTTTTTTTTTTTAAAAAACATCACTAACACACACATCATGCTTTCTACGCAAAAAAATGGGAGACATTTTACGAAACTTGTTTATTTTCAAATCATTAATTTTTAAATATTTTTAAAAGTGACTTTTAAAATATGAAATATGTCAAGATATATTATTGCACGTTTAATTAATTATAATTATTTATTGACAACATTTTTCTTATAAGACTATCTTTTTTATTAAAATATTGATGACAATCAGTATTAAATGTAGCAATCTTTGGTAATCTTTTGAAGTATATATAAAAAAAATATATATGTATATAAATCATATGTAAAAATGAATAATGCAACTGAACATTTTAAGATTGTTATAACGTAGTCCCATTATGTCTCGTAGACAATATAAAATATCGTAGATTATCGCGCGATATTTGCACAGATACTCAACTAAAATGACGAGTAATTTCAAATTGGAGGTGTCATTTTGCGATAAAAATTCAATTGCATATCGCATTGCGATTCAAGAAAAGAAAATTACAGCGCATATGTCACAAAATCGCACATCCCTAGCCCTTCATACTGTCATTGAAACTATCTCAAGTATTTACATGAATATCGCGGATGAAAGGGTGTTTCTTTACCCGCGCGAACACAACTCCATAAGGGTTGCTAGGTTGGTGTTTACTGTGAATCGCACGAAGCGAAAAATTCTGCGTGTTACTCGTACACGGAAAAAAGGTTTGGTTGAATTAACCAAATATCTAGTCGAATATGAACGATCCAGAAATTCCGATTGAAGTAACCCGAATTCTATTTAAGTTAACAGGATTTTTGATTGACTAACTAAAGAGCAAAGCTTTCTCTCTCACACACGCACATTTCATGTAATAAATGAAGGAGCATATTCTTCTCTATAGTATATGTTTGTACTACGTTAAGTGGATATATGAAGTGGCAGAAATATCACAAAGTGCTATAGTTACAAGTACTTTCTCAAAATTGCTCGCGCAGTGAGTAAATTTTTCTTGTCTCTATTTTTACTGATCCGTTATTAGTTTTGGAATTTCTTATCGGAATCTCTCTTTAGTTTTTGGTTGACTAACCAAAAATCTTGTTAACTTAAACAGAATTTGGGTTACTTCAATTGGAATTTTTGGATCGTTCATATTCGATCAGATATTTGGTTAATTCCACCAAACCTTTTTTTCGTGTAGAAATCGGAAGATAAACCCGCCGGCTAATAAGAACACGAAGGACGTCGCCGTGAAGGAAGAACCGACGGATCGGACCTACGTGGAGCCACTTCCCATTACGAACGTATCGACGTCGGCGACGTCTCAGGACACACAGAATGGTAAGCAAGACTCTTTCTAAAGTAGGGGAGACGGGGTCTAGAAGTCACACAGAGGTTAATTGTCACAAAGCTCTCTCTCTCTCTTACACACGCACATTTCGTGCAATAAATGAAGGAGCATATTCTTCTCTATAGTATATGTTTGTATTACGTTAGGTGGGTATAAGAAGTGGCAGAAATATCACAAAGTGGTATATTTACAAGTACTTTTTCAAAATTGTTCACGCAGTGAGTAAATTTTTCTTGCCTCTATTTTTACTGATCCGTTATTAGTTTTGGAATTTCTTGTCGAAATCTCTCTTTAATTGTGTAGGAAACGCCTACACAATTTTTCCTGCGCTTAGTTAACAGTTATGGCAACATAATTTATAAATATAATCTCTTTTATTCCAAATGACCGTTCGGGCTAATTTGATTGAAATTAAGCGGAATTAGTTGTCACGCGTTGTAAGTCCGTCACGTAGCTAAGACGCTTTGCAAGAAGCATAAAAGCGCATACATAATGATATATAATGTTTATGTATCTCAATAATAAGCTTATGTTGGGTCCTACACAGTTCAAAATTATTACAAAGTTTATGAGAATTATTTCTCATAAACTCTTAGTTCAATGATTGTTCATTGTATCTGATCATAAAATATCACTAACTTTAATAAAATACTTAAAACTTTAAAATAGAAACAGTTTGTTTTGTTTTCTTTACATAAAGGATATATGAGAACCAATCCTGGGAGTATGGAATGAATAATCACAATCGCACATTTTGTTTACCATTTAATTTTGTTCTGTATAAATATATATCAAGATATTTTCTTTGTTCAAAGAAATTATACTTGTATGAAAATATGCTCCATATTAATAAATATTACTACATCTTTTAAATATACATACATCTTTTACACATTATAAATATACATACATCTTTTTTTAATCAATATGTAAAAAGTATGACAACCAGAACCGATCTTCCCTACAATCAATATATTCTTCATTGAAATGCTACACATATGACTGATGATTCGTTTATAAGTGTGACTGAAAAGATTAGTTAATAGGTTGTAAGTAATTAATTGCTTTTTAAATTAATCATCGTGTTTAATTGACGATTACTATGAGCCAATTCAATTGGAGACCGTTTAATTGACAATTGATTTCAACAAATAGGAGTGGTTAATTCCGTCACCAGAAACGCAGAAAGTTGGATTTCGCACAACGTATAACGAATTTGTGCACTACAGATTTCGCAGTGAAACTCTCACTGGTCAAAATCAGTAAGATATACTCTCTAAATTTCTTGGGATGGAAAATGGCAGTATTTTCGCTCGAGATGACAGTGAAAATACTGCCACTCGAAATCACAAGAGTGAATGTTTCAACATCTGAGTGGATTCTGACTCTATATGAATGGATGTTTCAATCTATTCAAATGAATATGTATTTGTGTGTGTTCTCCTAGCAATACATCAGGTGGAATATATCAGATTCACTCTTTAATTTCAAGTAAAAATATTCACTCAACAAGTCAGAGTGAAGAATTCACTCTGTAGAAGTGAAAAAGCACTCAAGTAACTCGATCGTCCACTTCTCAAGTGAAATTTCACTCCAAGAAATTTAGAGAGTAAAATGAAGCAGTAAAGTGGAAGTTGTTTCACTGAAAATCAGTGTGAATACTCGCTAATTATAAATACTCCTCTCACTGGTACAATCAAAAATTTTTTTTACTGATTCACTTTAAAAGAGTCCTGTTTCGATCGTGTATCTAGTCGAATCCATTAAAGATCTTGTTGCAAAAACAGAAATCATGTCGGGCAAATTTTCGCAAGTAAATATCGAGAGAAAGAGAGAACAGAAGAGCCAGGCAGATAGAGAGAGAGAGAGCATGGTTTCCATGACTTCTCCTGACTTCTGTCTATCGTGCACGACGAGTACATCTACACCGTGACAAATCTGCGCACAAAAGGATCCACGTGGCGCTATTCCACCCCACAGAGTTCATAAATAACTGGGGGGAGGTACACGAGGGAGGACATCGCTCTGCCCATTAATCGAGTCGGCTTCCGATTAGCCCTTTGAGGATCTCTCGCAGTTACACATCGACGATAATGTCGAGTCGAGCCAAGCCGAGTCGCCGCGGGCCGTTCTTAATTAATTATCAATTTTGCGCGATCACCGGCGCCGAAAAACGCCAACTATAAGAACCGCGAAATCCGCAGCGAGGAAAAATTAACGGCAAGTTTGCAAAGAAACGTTTTTCCGCGTAGCGACTCGCAGTCGTGGAAACGAATTCTGTCTTTTTATTCCTGTTCGCTGAGTTATATCTCGCGCACGGAATTTCGCGAAGAACTCGCTCTGAAACGGCACTTAAAATCTGACATTTCCTATGAACGCTGCGAGGTTCACGGCTAATGCATCGCGCTCCGCTCGCACGCGTGACTGAGCGTGCGTAATTGAATAATTAAACGATGCTTTCAAGTCGAAAGCTATGGGCGAGCGTCTTGCAGATTCCAACGAAAAGCCACCGAAAGAGAGAACGAAAGAGCGCGAGAGGCCAGACCCCGGGGGAGAATGTAAGTCGAAAGCTTTTCTCGTGATTCGTGCAAAGCGAGGCGCTGCGCAGAAATTCCCGCTCGCGAATTTTCCCAGTGTGTCCTCGGTAATAGTTCGCTCTACGGGAAGGATGACGTCGCACTGGAAAACAATAGTTAGCAAAATGATTATGAATATCCAGGAATTTGTTGGATATGAAGTATAATTTTGCTATTTTGTTAAATTTATGACATTGCTCTATTCCCCTGTAAAGGTGACTTCTACGAAGCTACAGTTTCTGACTTTTTAAAATAGAAACCTTCAAACATCAATTTCCGACTGTTTCAAAGTTGCACGTCTGGTTCATGTTTTACGAATTTGTGAAAATGGTCAAAAAGCATTTTTAGGGGGATTAAACTCCTATTTTCTCGACAACCTGACAGTTTTCATGATTATATTCAGCATACCTAATTTACTAGACCCTTCATGGCAAAAATTCTAAATCTTGTAACATAGTATAATCTAATGTAAATATCTGTATGCACGAGGAGAATTGTTTTTTCATATATTGCGATTTATGTTTCACGGATATATATATATATATATATGAATTCCTTTGAATCTAATATTTTCTGATAGGTGAATAAATCGTCAGTAAAGTTTATCTTGCTGAGCAAAAATATTAAATTACGCAACAGCGATATTAGAATTTACACAGTAAATTTCTTAGAAAATAAATTTTTTAATAGTTCCTATAATACAAGCGAAATTTATGTTTCTTGGATATAAGTAGATTTCAGTTCTTAAAATATAAATAGCACGTATGAAACGGAGGGATGATAAATCAAGACAGAAAGTCGATGCGTCCGCTGGTTACAAAGTGTTCCACGATAATTGTTGCTATAAAATTCCCTCCATACCACAAATATAAGCATCGAATGAAGCACGACGTTAAATACAAATATCCGATATATAATAAATATAATAAAGCATTTATGCCGCGACTTTTAATCGATTACACGCGTAACTCCATTCAATTATTAAACGCGCATCGATGATACATATATTCATATTAATGTCCACTGAATACGCAACAGAAACATTAGAAATTTCCCGATGAATGCACGAATTGGGGGGAAGGGGGGGGAGTGGGAAGCGAGTCGGCCGTATTGCCGAAGGACGTTTCCACGGAAACAACTGCGAGCTGGTTTTTCCGCGTCGATGACGGTCATTATCTAATAGGCTGTGCGAATTAAAAGGCGAAAATACCCAGCAACTGCCGCCGCCATCACCGCGTCCCGGCCCGGCTCGTCCACAAAAGGTAGAGTCGGCCGACAGGGGTTGCAAGCTCATGCTTTGTAATCAGACCGATTAGTCTTCCTTTATTCACGCACACACGCATGCACACACAGCAGCGGGCAAATCCTTTAGGAACTCGGTCGGCTATACCCACGACTCGACACTGTATACGCGATGCCTCCACCCGCCTACTACCAAGTCACCTGGGATCATGCTTCTCTTCGCGTAATTCTCCCTACCATTAAGCCGTTTTAATTATTTACACGTAGTTTAGGTTAATAATAGGATACATTCCCTATCGCCCGTATCGATATCCCGCAATCTACTTACGATCATCCAATTTGCCGAGAGAGGAGAGAGAGAGAGAGAGAGGGAAAGGGAAGAAAAAGAAGATACACGCGGCACTTCACCCAGACTCTTTCACGATCATCACGACGTGAGGCAATCGATAACGGCGACTTTGTAATCTTTTTAACGACATCTTTGAAGCGAATGTGTTGTATTGAATTGATCATTCAAATTAGATCAATGATGTAATCTTTTTTGTTATATTGAGGCAGCAGCAATAGATTTTCTTAGAATTATACCGCGATTTTTACATCACGTTTTACGTGATATATATTGTTTAGGGTAAATCATACATTTTTTGATACACTTTTCAATTACGTTATTTCATGTGATAAGTGTGAGCGCTATAAGGAACGTAAACTTCGCAAATCGACCAATAAACTTTCCAGGTAGATTTCGTGACGATCGCGAATCCGCCGTTCGTTTCGTTCATTTTTTGGTCGCGACTCTTTGCTCGAATTCGTCGAGTGCAAGAATTCGCGAATTCTCGCGCCGCTGAAAAATGCAACGGCAGCGAGAGACAAGAAAAATCGCGTAAAAACGTTCCCCGCGGCGTGACGGAAAAATGCCCCGGGCAAAGTATAAAATATTCGGGATCATCTCGTTTGCGGGGACAAACAATTCGCCGAGCGATACGATACGATACGATACACGGGCGGAATAGTAATAACCGGTTAATGGATACCGATTGGTGGTCCCACAGTTCCACTAATTAATACGAGCAGAGGATTACGAGGATTACAGATCGCGACGGTCCGCACTGCTGCCGGCAGTCATCTGCCTGCGCCGATGCGGACGCGGACGCGGAAAATTCGCCGAGCGAAAC